CCACCCTCTCTCTTCCCCTCTCCCACCTCCTTTCCCCAGTCTCGCCAGAGGTTAATCCCCCCTCCCCCAGTTTTGTTAAATAAAGAGAGTTTCTATTTTTGAACACGTGTCCTTTATTTTTTATATCAGGAAGGGGGGTTAGGGAGGGGTAAGTGGAAGGAGGTGAGGGAGGAATGGGGCACGAGCCCCCATGGGGCGGACTGGGGTGGCTGTGCGGGCTCCTTGGGATGGAAGCTCTCCTGCAGGGCCTCCTGGATCCTGACAGCCCCCAATTGACCCCCCCGGATGGCAGCCTGTGGCAAGTGCAGCCGGGCTGATGGCCAAGTGCTGTGATGTGCCAAGTGCAGGCACTCAGGGCACTCCTAGACAGGACTGCTTTGCTGTCCCTCATCAAGGTAGACAAGCAAGCGGGGAACCCTGAGAACTGTCTGTCCGGGGTGGGGGTCAGGTCCCTTTAAGCACAGCCCTCGGCTAGCCTGAGGCAGCAGCTCCACACTCTAAGTCCTAACCTGATGCCCTGCCGGCACTGGTTCCGGCCAGCCTTAACTGGGGTCCACTCAATGTGGATATGCTATTTAGAATTATCAAAACTCTAATTCAAATTAGTTTTTAGGTCTAGATGCACTAATTTGAATTAGCTTAGTTCGAATTAACTAATTCAAATTAAGTTAGTTTGAATTAGTGCTGTTGTGTAGACATACCCTAACTCCCTCCTAGACTCTGCAACCCTATCCTCTGCGCCAGACTAGAGCCCCTTCCTGCACCATAGCTCCCACCCAGACCCTGGAATCCCACCCCAAGCTCCTGTCCTGAGACCCTTCCTGCACTCCAAATCTCTTGACCCCAGTCTGGAGCCCCCTCCTGCACTCAAAACACCTCATACCCACCCCCGCCCCAGAGCCTGCATCCCCAGTTGGAGTCCTCACCACCCTCCTGCCTCAAGCTACACACTTAACCCCTCATTTTTGGCTCTGCCCCAGAGCCTAGGGGGACCCACAATATCTGATAGCTCTAGGCCCATAGAAGAGTTAATCCAGCCCTAATATTAACTATTGTGGATCAGTTAAATTAATATTGATCACTACTAATAGCTTTACATTAACATAAATCAATATTATTACTGAATTAATATAAACTGATAATTATGCATGTTGATTTGCTATTGATCACTATTAATTACCATACATTATGTTACATTTATGGATGCATTATTTTAAATCACTGCTGATTATAATCAGTATTAAATTGTTATGTATCTAAATTATGAACAATTATTTCAATTAATTATAAGTTTGTTTATCAAATCTATTGATTTCAAGAAGGCCACTTATGTGAGAAAAGTTGCACATGAACAGAAACGATCTCTAGATTGTTATTATTAGGTGTATCAGTATCTAGAGGCCCTAACCATGAATGTGGCCCCTGCTGAAGCAGGTGCTGTACAGACACACAGGTTCTGTCTACTGTGCAGCTGGGAAGTGTGACTGCAGAATATGTAGCCATGCCTGAGCTAGCTGTGATCCAGCTAGCATGCTAAAAATAAAAGTATAGCCATGGCGGCATAGACGGTGGAACTGGCTAGTTACCTGCATCCATACCTAGGGTACTGGGTGGGATCAGGGGCAGATGACCGTTTTGCAGGGCCCTGGGCAGCATAATTCCACGGGGCCCCCCCTTTGCCACGGCGCATGCGCAGTGACGCCATGCACATGCGCAGCGGCGCCACGGCGCATGCACGGGGCTTTCTGAAGCGCGGGGCCCGGGGCGGCCAACCCATTCGCCCTGCCCTATATCCGCCCCTGGGTGGGATTATACTTGGCTGCTAATCTGTGCTGACACTGCTACACAGCTACTGTTAGTATGCTAGCTAGATCAAAGCTAGTATAGGTATTTCTGCATGATCTGCAGTCACACCTCCCAGTTGCTTTGTAGACAGCCCCCTCATGAGAGCCAGTCCCCACCCCAGCGAGCTCCCATTCTAAGCAGAAAAAGGGGGCAGATAACAAAGTGAGGTCCAGAGGGGTCTTGCTGAAGTACAGTAGTACAGATGGGAATGGAACCCAGGTATTCCAAGCACTAATTCTCTGTTCTACCTACTGACAATTAATGTCAATAGAAGAGGGTAGAGGGCCATAGGTCCAATTTAAGGAGCACCGGCAGAGCTCCAGGGGAGCTTAAGGCTGACCTAGCAGGGGGCTGAGGACTGGGACAAGAGGCACCACAGCACCATATGGTAGTATCCACACTGACTCCTCTCTCACTCACACCAGGCTACTTACTCCCTTCTTCCTCTCTCCATTACCTCAGCTCTTCCCTCTTCTTTTGTGTGGTCTGAGCCAAGCTGTCAGGGGGACTATAGCCTGCCAGGCACTTGGCCACTTCCCTCTGCACCTGCTGCTGCTTGACCCGGCGCTGTTCTGCTTGCCTCTTCTCCTGCTGCTCCCGTCGCTCCCACTCCAATAGCAATAGCCTGCACCAGAAGCCAAGGGGGAGGATCAATCAAGGGGCATTTCAGGGGACTGTGATTTGAGATTGAGGGGCACAGGCACAGCTGGGGGCACAGGTGCTGGAAGTAAGGGTGCTGTTGAACCCCTTGGCTTGAATAGTTTCCATTATATATAGGGTTTCCAATTTGGTTCAGTGGCTCTTCTCTCCCCCACTAAAAAAATTGTTCCAGCACCCCTGGTTGGCATAGCTGGAGGCTGTGGGTTAGGGTGGAGGGGCTGTGCTGGAGGGCAGTGTGTGCTGAAACCCAGGCCTGGGATAGCAGGGGCCTCTAGCTTGGCATGTCAGTTATCTGCTTTTAGCCAGACTATCCTGCCTTTCTATCCAGTACTGAGAAAAACAATGTGGCTTTGTCCAGTATCAGATGAGAGATGCCATAATGAAGAGTGCCTCTCTGCCCCCTCTGGTGTGACCTGGCATGCACGCCACATGTGTCAGATGATGCTGGCAGAGGTGGGCTGTGTGCTCTTCAAAATAGCGCCCCTTGTGCGGCACTGGCAGATGTGGGCTCCTGCCATTCCCAGTAGCACTGGAATGTTTGGTATTTCTGGAATGCATGAGTAGCCACCCTAGCTGTAGGTCAGGATTATGGGGGACCAGCAGCGCTGGGGAGGGGATGGCAGAGGGGCTGCAGCAGAGCTGAGGGAAGCCAGGGCTGGAACAACTGGGGTGTGAATGAACTGAAGGTCATTGTCCATACCTGGTGGCCTCCTGCCGTTTGTCAGAGGCTCTGGTGGGTGGCACTGAGAGGAAGGGGTCGAACTCTGAGCAGGACTGGGACCTGCAGTGGAAGCTCCAGAGCTGGTGCTGCTCCCAGTCTCTGAGCTGGTCCCCAGGTTGGTGCTGAGAGCTGCTGGCCATGTGGAGATGGAAGGGTTTGTAGATGGTCATCTTGGCTGGTGGAGGAAAACACAGAAAGTATTAATGGAGGGTTCCTGAACCTTCCCATCAGCTGCACTTCCCACGCCAGAAACAGTTGCATCTTAATTGCCAGGGGAAGAGTCTCTGAATAATCAGCCCTTGTGCCTCCTACTCCAGGGATTTTTGTATAAGCAGTCCCACATCAGAGGCAGCTCCATCTCAGTGCCGGGCATGAGGTTCCGTTTAAACAGCCCCCAAAAGCAACTGCATCCATCTCCTTGGCTCACCTCTCACTTTCCTCTTCTCCAGCTGCTCCTGGAACCTCTTGTGGAGTGTCTCAAAGTCAGGGATGGTCCGGTTAATGATGGGTTGGTACCGGATCTTGTCTTTGGGGGCCAGCCCTTTGCCCTTCCTTCTGTGCCCCCTGGGGCTTGGGTCCTGTGGCTCTGTGGCCAGGCACAGAGCCTCAGCTCTTAGCCTGGCCCTGGGCTGCTGGGCAGAGGTGGACGTCTCCCAGGCCGGGGAAGACACAGCCTCCTCCAGACTCAGCAACTGCTGAGCCAGCTGGAGCCAGTGCCTCCTCTCCTCCCGGAGCTGGCGTTTGCGGGCCTCACTCCGGGCCTCCATCTTCCAATACAGTGGGGAGAGGCTGCTGGAGGTGGGGTGGGGTACTCGCTTAACCCTGCCCCCCTCAGTGCTGCTGTGCCCCTGTGAGCTGCCAGCCCATTGGTCTGCACGTCTATGCAAACCCATCTTCTTGGGGTGGACACTTTCACGGGGAGAGTTGTTGGGAGCTCTGCGGGGCTCCCCCTTCTTCATCTGGTCCAGGGAAGGGGCTGGGAGCAGGGCACGGCCGTTGAGTGAGAATTCCTCCCACATCCACTGGAAGGGGAAGGAGGGGCGGGAGCAATGGGGTGGGCGATCAAGGGTGCAGGCAGGAGCTGACTTGGAGGGAAATGGGTCCTTAGGAATGTCTCTCTGCCTGGTGGTAGGGAGAAAAGGAGATGATGAGTTTCAGATCAGAGCAATGGAGCCACCTAGCCTGGTATCCCCCAGCTAATGAGCCCAGCATCGCTACTCCTATCCAGCTACCCTAGACTAAGCCAATGGGTTCATCTACAGGGCATACCATAGACATGACCACATCTCACATTGAGCCAGCAACAGACTCCTAGCTGCCCCCCTCCTCATGGCTCTAGCCCAGTAGAACCCACTCTTCTCCCTTTGTCTCTTTACAAGGCAAGCCCTTTGGGGTAGAGACTGTCTCTCACTGCGTGTCGGTCCAGTGCCCAGTACAGTGGAGTCCCAATCTTGGTCTGGATCTGTGCACCATCTGGGACAATGAGGACCCCTGATCTGGGTTGACGAGCCTGGGCAGCACCCAGCAGAATGGGGGCCCCAATCTTGGTCAGGGTCTATGTAGTGCACAGCACAATTGTGGCCCTGGTCTTGGGATCTGTGCAGCACATGCCGTAAAGGGGTGCTGATCTCAGTCGGCACATGTGGACACTACTAATAAAATCTCTATGCAGCAGCAGCAAGCATAAGTTTGGCCCAATGGCCATAAGGATCCCATCCATCCTACTTACCTTCCTGCAGATTGGGCCGAGTCCTGGTCCCCATCACAGGTGTCACTCACACAGGACTCCTGCATCTTGCAGCATGGGACCCGGCTGCCTCTTCTCCCTGAGGGGGGACCTCTGGGTGACCCCTTTCTCCTCCCTTTCCTCATCAAGACCACGATTCCATCACCATTATTGAAAACCTCCTCCTGAAACCGCAGAGCAGAGGCAAGAAGGACCTGGCTTTTCTTCTAGGGGACTGGCTGGCTCAGGCAACAGAGACTGGGACAGGAAGCCTTTCCCTCAGTAGGTCCTGGCTCAAAACTACCTAGTCCACTAGTCACCACACTCCCTCCTAAAGCTGGAAGTAGTGCATCCTAACTCCACTCCCTTGCTCTCTCTACTTAGCCAGCAGTGTCACTCTACAAACATCCACACAGGACAGTGAGAAAGAAAGACACGTGCCAGGTAAGGAGACCCTACAAAAACAAACTGCAGCCCCAAATTTTTCCCTGGGTGTTTGCCCGTTGTGGGAGTCCTTCACAGCAGGGAGAGGAAGGTAGAGTTTGGGTGGTCGAAAACAGATGTTGGGCCCCCAAGGACTGTGGGATGCCAGTACACAAAGGGGGCAGGGAGTACCAGGAGTTACCTCTTGGGGAAGGGAGCCTGAAAGCAGTCCTAACAGGTGCACCCTGCCCTTCTTTTGGTAGAGGGTGCCAGGCGCCCGGGCTTTGGGATCCAGGGAGGGGCTGATGCAAGCATTGGTGAACATAGAGTGGCGGTGGGCCCCCAACATGGTGCCTACCTGAATTCCCCCCCCAGCTGTTACTGTGGTGATTGGCCATGTTCCAGAACATGGCCATGGTTGGGAGGGTTCCAGAGCCTGGCCTCACCCCCACTATATGGTCACCATAGTAACTGTGGATGAAGGACAGACCATGGCTCTGATCCTGGCCAGCAGCCCATGAGGGGAGAGACTGTGCTGTTAGATCCCCAAGAAGGGGAAAGCTTGGGAGGGGCAACATTAGTCTCAGGGACATTGTGCAGCTCATAAAAGGCATGAGGAACACACAATCATTCAGAACAATGCCATGGCCCATCCAACATATTGGCGCGTATCTGCCATGGGGAAGGGATGAAGGAGAAGGGAGAAGGCAATCTCTAGGGTCACATGTGGTCCAGAAGGTGGAGTACTGTACTGTACTGAGACTCAGGACATCTAGGTTCTATTCCTGACTCTGCAACTGAAAATCTCTTCTGCCTCCCCCCATCCCATTTTGTGCCTTAGTTTCCCTCATTTTTTTCTATAGTTTTACTGTGACCTCTTCAGTGCAAGGACTGTCACTGTGCAACTCCCAGAGTGATGGGATCCCAATCTTGTTTGGGATCCATGCAGCACCTGGCACAATGAGGCACCAAATTTGGTGCTATTATAATGCAAATAAATAATAACATTAGAGACAAACCCCTGGATTTTACTGCAGAACTTAAAGATGGTGCCTGCCAGGAGCACAATGCCCTTAGTCCACTCTGGGGCACTGGGAGCCTGCAGTGAAGGAGAATTCCCCCTTCTGATCTTCCCATACTGCTTTCTGCAGCACTTTACCCTTTGATCACCTGAGGTACTAGGGACAGCACTGAGTCACTAATCCCCTGTAGGAACAGCCAGAGTCCTGGATAGCTCATTCTCAGCCATGATCCCTATAATTATAGTCTTGTTTACATCTCTGCCTGGGAGCCCAGCCAGGCAGAGGGGGAGCAAGAATTCCTTTTTGCTTCACACTGTTTCCTCTGATTCCCAGAATTTCCTGTCTCTTCCCAGGACAGGAGGTTCCTGTAAGGTCCCATCTCTCGGTGTCCAGCTGCAGACTTTGAAGGGGAGAGATGGTGGGGATCAGGGTATGGCCTCCTTTAAATTCACTCCTCTTTCCTGCACTTTATGGATCATGTAAACCTGAGTGTGGGGCTCCTGATTGGGGATGCAAACTCTGTGTGGAGCGTGAATCGACATAGGCCAGAGGAAGGGGACATTGCTTAAGGCTGGTGGAGGGAACTAGGGCTGGAGAGGGAGCTGGAGATCTCAGGCTCAGTTATTGTAGCTCTAAGTGGGGTTCTGACTTGGCTGAGGCTTAGGTTGGACAAGTGGAAATTGGTGGGGATAGGTTAGGTTGGATTGGGGGTGGGGGTGAGGTGGAGGAATCTTTGGGAGAAAAAGTCTGAGCAGATTGAGTCTAGGGAATTCTGTCTGTGTTTCTCCAGCAGGGCACAGAAAGGACACTGTTAACTGCAAAACATGCTACAACAACAAGCGGCTGAGTCCCTCCCCTCCCCTTGAACTGGCTTGGCAGGGGCTCTGGGCTGGGACTGGCCTTATTAATAACCCCTGACAGCTCCTGTTGCAATAACAACAACTGCAGGGGGGAGGGGTTCTGCCAGGAGCAAATGTGTCTGTGGGATAAACAGGATTGGAGGAGGGGCAATAGATCTTAGGTGGAGAGAGAATCAGTGGAGGACACTGTAGGCTGGTGAAGGGAAGGCTGGGGATTGATGGGGCACCACAAGGGAGAGATGGGGGCACTAAGGAGTAATAAGGGCCCTGGGGACTGGAGTAGTAGTAATGGGGGCCAAACACTAGAGGCTGGGGGGACTGATGGGGTGCTATCAGCAAGAGATGGAACAGCAGAGGCTGGGTGATGTGAGGATACTGGGAATGGAATAGGGAAGGTCACTGGCAGCTGGGATGGGCAATAGGGGTTACTGGGAATGGATGTACAGGGGCACTGGAAATCAATGGACACTGGGGTATTCTAGATTAGGCAGCGGAAGCTGAAGTGCTGGGAATAAAGGGTATGTCTACACTACCCCCCTAGTTCGAACTAGGGGGGGGTAATGCAGTCATACGGCGTTGCAAATGAAGCCCGGGATTTGAATTTCCCGGTCTTCATTTGCATAAAGCCGGCCGGCGCCATTTTTAAATGCCCACGTGGCACGGACTAGCTAGTTCGGATTAGGCTTCCTAATCCGAACTAGCTGTATACCTCGTTCCACGAGCCTAATCCAAACTAGCTAGTCCGTGCCACGGGGTCCGACCTAGCCAGCATTTAAAAATGGCACCGGCCGGCTTTATGCAAATGAAGCCCGGGAAATTCAAATCCCGGGCTTCATTTGCAACTCCGTATGACTGCATTATCCCCCCTAGTTCAAACTAGGGGGGTAGTGTAGACATACCCAAAGGGAGTGTGAGGTATTCTGCAGCCCTGGCTCACTGGCCCAGACTCCCTGAGGAATAGGGTTGCCTGGTGTCCAGTGTTGAACAGAACAGTCCAGTATTTGAGCTTTCTGTTTGGGAAATAAATTGAGAAAATATAAATGAGAAAATATCAATGTCCAGTATCTTCTAAATAAGATGTAATGTAGATTGTGATGTAATGTCAAGTGTGTCCGGTATTTTTGTTGAAACCATCTGGCAACCCTACTGAGGAAATGCAGTAGGGGGAGGTGAGGTGTATCCCCTTCACTTCCTCTAAGCAGGGCAGCTCCTTTAAGGGCTGAGGTCAGCAGAGCTGGGGCTTCCATGGAGCCTGCTTCTTCTGCCTCAACACAGACCCACAGGGAAGGGGCCCCCCAGCTCTGCCAGTGGTTCCCAGGCCTGGGCCCTTAGGAAATGATACCCAATCTTGATGCTGCCCTACAGTGCAACTGCTGGCATGGAAGTGGGGGTGCCCCTTTCCCAGTCGTCACAGGTCCATGGAGCTAGGGGGCAGTACTAAGTTCCAAAACAAAGATGACTGCCAGAGAAGGGGTGATGGTTGTCAGGGTAATAACACAGAGAGATGACTTCCAAGAAAGATTGGCACAATGATGGCTGCCAAGGAGGAGAATGGTCATGAATAGGGGAGGCACAAAGATGGCTGCATGACAAGATGCAATGGCTGTTGGCAGGTCAGTGGAAACACAAAGATGGCTGCTGGAAGCCATTTTGTGTAATTCTTCTCCCAAGATGGCTGAGCTGTGCTAGGGCCTAAACCTTCCCTGGGGTGGTGAATTCTTCTCCCATTCCTGGCGCCACCCTGACTGGCTGGCAACATTGGGCAAGAAGCATTCAGGATCCATTTGTGGCTCTGGAGCAGCATCTTGGCGCCTGCTATTTCCCTCCCTGTCTCTCCCACGCCCTTGGCTTCCTGAGGATTCAAGCCCCAACATGACAATGTGGGAGCATTCCCCAGGGTTTGTATATGTGTGTGTGTGCTGCTGTGGGAAAAGAGAACTGGAGTGACATGCACATGTCAGAGTCAGGGCAGGGGCATATGTGATGGTGAGGGTTGCACAGTGGGCAGGGAGAAAGGGGCAAGGGATATGTGTGTATACAGGATAGAGAACGTCAGGGGTGCACAGAATGACAGGATCAAGAGGGTGTGCACATGGAGGAGAATATTTGGGTGTATATACAACATGGAGAGGCCAGGTAGCACATGGAGTGGGAGAAAAGGGGGGTACATAGAGTGGGATGAATAATGGGGTATATACATAGCACGAGGGTGCTGAGAGAGGTTAGAGGCTGGTCAGAGCAGGGAGGCTGCCCATTGAAGGGATGAGGGCACTAGTCTCTGATTACAGCTTGTGTGACTGGCACTTGTTTACAGCCCTTGCCTTTAGGCCACATTTGGTAGGGGGCGTGGCTCCTGGTTTTCTCTGCTGACTCAGGTGCTGCTGCTTATGGTGGCAGAGCTGGGGCACCTGTGCTGGGAGATCAGCACCTCAGCTGTGGCACTTGAACCCTCCCCCATTCCACTCCTTTTGGGTAAATTCAATGCCCAATTTGAATTGGGGCAGTTTGGTGGTAGCCATCACAGAGTAGTGGCCTGGCAAGCTTCCTTGTAACACCCCTGCCTCAGTGTGTGTTTTGGGGAGAACTTGCTATGGCTGGAGGGGGCACTTTGTCTCCATGGTCAGATCAGCCCCAGAAGCCCTGCCCAGTTAATGCCATTCAGATGCAGCTGAGAACTGGACTTTATGGAGGGGGTGGGGGAAGGGGTGTTCCAGGACCAGGAGGCAGTTGGAACTGTTTGTTGGTGGGTAAGAAGCCCACAGGTAAGGGCAGATCCGTGTTTAATCACTTGGGCTATGTCTACACTAGCGGCTTCTTGCACAAGAACATGTCCACACTGCCATGTGCCAGCTGTGCTTTTGTGCAAGAGCATCCATGGCAGTGTGGACACTCTCTTGTGCAAGAAAGCTCTGATGGCCATTTTTGCCATAGGGCTTTCTTGCGCAAGAAACCCTGGCCGAGCGTCCACACTGCCCTCTTGAGCAAGAGCTCCTGCGCAAGAGGGCTTACACCTGTTAAAAAAGAGTGTAGCTCTTGCGCAAGAAGCCCTCTTTTACCATGTCGTACTGTAAAGCAAGAAGCAGCGAGTGTAGACATAACCAGGGTGGTGTTAGCTGGGTAGGGGGTAGGATTAGCTGGGGGAGCACTGAGGGGTATTGGCTCCTGGGAGGTTTCTTGAGGAGGAGGTTTGATTAGCCTGGGGGAGGGGTGAAGGAGTATCTCCCCCTCCCTGTACCCACGGTTGGGGTGGGGGTATTAGTCACATATTCCCAACGGTACATGGGACTATTTAGAGCTTAAGGCTTCTCACAAGGGTCAGAAAATGGAAAAGCTGCTGTAGCCCCCTCAAGCTGCCCCTCTCTGCTATGTATGTGGCTGAGTTGTGGGGCGGGGGGCTCCCACCACAGAGCTTTCTCTTTGAGGCTCCCACCACAGAACTCTCTCATTGGTGACAAACCTGGGCCAGGGAACAATCAAGGATTTCTTGTGATTGTCAGGGCAGGAGGGAAGGGGCTGGATTTCCAGCCTTTGATGGCAGCTCCCCCCCCCATGGCGTTCCCAGACTCTGATTCCTGGCCTCACCACTTCCTAACCTTTGATCTAGCCTTCCCCCTTAGGGTTCCCAGATTATGATCCCTCAGCTCCTCATGGGTTCCTAACCTTTGATGTCCCCATACCCAAGGTTCCCAGACACTGATCTGTCCCCTCCCCATACCACGAAATGGTTTTCTTTCTCAGCAAGAGACAGACTATGAAGTAAAGAGTAGGTGGCAAAATGGAGTCAGGCTGAAGCAAAAGATTTTGCGGAGCCACATGCAAATGAGTCACCGAAGCTGGGATTAGGCATGCAGAATCCTGCTTTCCAAGCCCTACTCCCTGCTCTAACCACTAGGTATTACCACTCCTGCCAGAGGTGGGGACAGAACACTGATGGTAAAGTGGTGTCTTCACACCCAGCCCCTCCATCTTAACCACTAGGCACACTCATGAACGTATTCTTTTCAAGCCTAGTTACCCCCTTTGCCCCACCCCTGGAGACATCCAGTGGCAAACTCTCTGATTCATTCTGTTTATCCCCTATTGGAAACCCTTCCATTCTCAACCTCAAATTTTCCATGTAGAGGCAATTTCTCGTCATTTTCTTTGCCATCTAAAACTTGGGGCACTGCTCCCTTCATAGTCCCCAATTTCCCCGTCTCTCTCCCTCCTCAAGCAGGATACTCTCCACTTCTCCAAGCAGTAGCTCATAGGAACATAGAGTAATTAACGGTCTCCACCTTAAGCCTGGTAGGAGGCGGAGCTGAAGGCGGATCCGGATCTGGATATATCAGTGCTGGCAGCTCGGGCGCCTCTATTCTATAGTCAGGGAAGTCAGGCTCTAGGTATGATCTACAGCGGTATGTTGGGCACATGGGGCTGGCGTGTTGAAGCGCTGCGCCCTAGGCGCATGGACTGGGTACCAGCGCGCACAGGGCTATAGGAGGGGGCTGGCAGCGGGGGGCACGAGGTGAGAAGTTAGTATGGCTGCGGTTGAATTCCGCACCAGGAGTTCTGTCAAGTGGGGGGAAATATGTTTGGGCTGGAGGGCTGTGCGCCAAAGTCGGAGGGGGGGGGGCGGGTGCTCTGTGCCTGGGGCACATGGCTCTGCCTCTCTCCCCTCGCTGCAGGCCGTAGTGATACTCAGTGGCATCTAACCAGGCATCATGAGCCAGGACACGGAGGTGGACATGAAGGAGGTGGAGTTGAATGAGATGGAGCCAGAGAAGCAGCCCATGACGGGCTCTCCCTCCTCACCGGCATCGGGCTCCCCAGGCAGCCTGGGTGAGAAGAACGGGATGGTGAAGGTGAAAGTGCCGGAGGATGGCGAGGCGGATGCTGACACCAAGTTCACGGGGCTCTCCAAAGAGGAGCTGCTGCAGGTAGCGGGCACTCCAGCGTGGGTGCGCACCCGCTGGGCCCTGCTCATCCTCTTCTGGCTGGGGTGGCTGGGTATGCTGGCGGGAGCCATCGTCATCATCGTGCAGACTCCCCGCTGTAAGGAGCTGCCTCCCCAAGAGTGGTGGCACAAAGGCGGCATATATCGCATCCAGGCGCTGGAGGCCTTCCAGGATTCAGATGCCGATGGAGTCGGGGACTTAGCAGGTGAGTTCTGATTCTCAGTCCTTCTCCCCCGCGCCCCCGACTCCAGTTGGGAATGGAACCCAGGAGTCCTGGTCATTCCCTCCCCCGTAACCCAGGGCCCCACTTCCCTCCCATAGCTAGGGATTAATCCAGGAGGGTGGGAAGGGGAGGGTGATGGTGGGAGAGGGAAGGATGGGGGGTGGCAGAACATCCGGATGAACACTGGGGTTTAGTTGCCGCCTTGCCACAAATTGGAGCCCGGGTGGCGTTGGGGTGAGCCCCCTTCTCCGGTTCTCCCTGTCTGGGGGTGGGGGAATCAGTCCCCGCACGTGCTCCTAGCGCAAGCCTGTGCTTGCTGGCCGGCGGCTGGCTGCCCGCCCCCACTGGCGGGGGAGGGAGAGTTGGCGGAGTTGCTCCAGTCCAAGTTGCTCCAAGCCGGTTTTAGCCGGCTGGCAGCAAGCACTGGGCTTTGTTTCATCAGCTCTGACGTCACCCCAGGCTGCGCTGACTCAGCTATCAGGAGGGTTTGAGGATGGGCGGGGGTAGGGAGCTGTGGGGTTAAGGTCCCGCGGGGGGGAGGGAGCTGTGGGGTTAAAGTCCCGTGGGGAGGAAGAGAGCAGGGGGCCAAAGGGCCCATAATGTGTGGAGGCTAATATCAACTTGGGGAATTGGCTGGGTTAAAGGTTCCATTCTGGGTGGGGGAGGAAGGGAGACTGGGCCAGTAACCTTTGCCTGGGGGGTAGGGGTAATATGTAGAGCCCTGCAAATAGCGGATATCTGCTTTATCTATAGATGTAGATATCCATGGATATAGCCACGGTTCTTTTTTTGTGGATATGGATACAAACTTTGAATACATGCAGGGCTCTAGTAAGGTGGGCAAGAAGCAGGGGCTATGGGGACAGCCTTTACCTGGGCTGAGGGAAGCAGTTGTGTGAGACTGGGAGAGCTGCAAGCCTCTAACCTGGCCCTCCCTTCCTTGTCCACTCTCCCCCAGGGGTGCAGCAGCGCATTGATTACCTGAGTTCCCTGAAGGTGAAGGGGCTGGTAATTGGACCCATACATGTTAATGCTCCAGACAGTCTGATTGCCACTGATCTGCAGACAGTGGACCCTAAGTTTGGCACCAAGGAGACTTTCACTAAGCTGCTGGAAGCTGCCAAGAAAAAGAGTAAGAAAAATCCCTGTATGGTGCCTTTTCCCCTGAAGGTGCTGGATCTGATTCCCCCTCTCCCCCCACCCTCCAAGGATGAGGGGTGGAAAATGGGAAACCTGGTGTCTTGGGAGGGGAGTTTTCCCTTCCCCAGGATGTACACCTGACATCCCTTTCTCCCTAGGTCTCAAAGTCATCCTGGACCTGACCCCCAATTACAGTGGCAAGATTCCCTGGTTCAGTCTAGAGACCCCCCATGACAATAATTTCCAGGATAAAATGAAGGTGAGGGGGGTTCTTGAGAGCAGCTGGAAGCCTAACTATGTTTTGGGTGGATTGGGGTGTCTTGCTCCCCATGGATCTGTCTAGGCCTGGTTTGTCACTTCCTTGAATCCTCACTATTTAGGGGAAAGCAGCTAGTAGCTGTATCTGGGTTTCTCATGTTGGGGGGAGGCTACACTGGAGGGTGGGGGCTGGGAGCTGCCAGGTGATAGGAGGCATCAGGGTTGGTGACTGTAGGGAATACCAAGTAGTGGTGCTTGACACTCAATCTCTGGGCAGGCGGCGCTGGAGTACTGGCTGGAGCTTGGTGTGGCGGGGATCCAGATCAAAAGCGTGGAGATGCTCAATGTAAGTAACTGCTAGTCTGTGTATTTAGGGTTGGAGGTAATGTGGGGTGACTGTCTCACAGGTTTTTTTCCTCCTGCAGGACCCCCAGCTCCTGATGGACTGGAAGAACCTCACCAGCCAATACAGTTCTGATGGCAACACCAGGTGGGTGCCAAGTTCTCATCAAATGGTTCTGGCTCTTTTGAGGTGGTGGCTGACTGGTTGGCCCACTGGGATGCTAGCCCTCCTGAATAGGCTCACTTTCCAGGCTCCCTCTCCCATCTCCTAGTGCCAACTCCCCATAGCCACCCCTTAAATGCCAGCAACCCCCCCCCCATATTCACCACCTTCTAGAAAACACCCCTCCATCTTCAGACACTTCCCCCTACAACTCCCCATTCCTAGCACCTCAGAACTGACCCCAGTGCTCACTGTGTCCTGACTCCCTTCTTGCCAGAGTGCTGATCGCTGGGACAGGCCAGCAGAACTCCTCACAGATTTTGTCCCTGATGAACGAGACTAGTGCTGATCTCCTGGCCAGCCCATATCTGATGGAGCTAGGGTCAGAGCCCCCTGGAGAGCAAATGGAAAACGCAATTAGAAACTACATCGAGGCTGCTGGAGAGAAATGGCCTAGCTGGAGTGTAAGTGCTGTTCTCCCCCTACTCCTTGTCTTCAGTTATAGGCAGTGGGGGGAGGAGCTGGGACATGGACCCCCCCCATCCACCCCCATCCCTGCCTCACAGGATTGCCTTGCTAAGCCCCTCTTTGAATCTGTATCTTAGCTTCCAGTGCTCAGACTGGTTTACCCTTTGGGCTGGGAAGGAGCTCTGCCACAAAGCACACAGGTGTGTTCTGTGTTAGCTGCCTAAAACGATAGGCTGGGGACATGACCACTAGCCCCATTTTCCTTCCCAGGGCTGGGGATGATGTCCAGCTCTCACCTCCTGTGCTGACACTGCCTTTCTGCTGTCTCTTCAGGTTGGGGGCCTGCAGGCAGAGCATATGGCATCTTTGGTGAAGGAACGGTTGCTGCGACTTTATCACATGCTACTTTTCACGCTGCCGGGGACGCCTTTCACCAACTATGGGGATGAGATTGGTCTGGGGAAGCTGCCAGGACAGGTAGGGGCAGTGTGGGGCTCAGAATCCATGGTGGCCTCCCGGTCATGGCTGGGCAATTCCTCTGCAGCCTATGTAGGGGAAGGTCTGGGAAAGTTAGTTAATGTGGTAACAAGCCTTGTGGATAAGAGAGAAGCATTTGATGTGGTATATCTAGACTTCAGTAAGGCATTTGATGCAGTCTTGCATGACCTTATTAATAACCTAGCTGGAGCTACTATAAGGTAGCTGCATAACTAGCTAAATAACCATTCCTAGAGAGTAGTTATTCATGTTCAGTCATGCTGGAAAGGCATAATGAGCAGGGTTCCACAGGGATCAGTTCTAAGTCCAGTTCTGTTCAATATCTTCATCAGTGATTTAGATAATGGCATAGAGTATGCTTATAAAGTTCCCAGATGCAACCAAGCTGGGAGGGGTTGCAAGTGCTTTGGAGGATAGGATTGTAATTCAGAATGACCTGGAGAAATGGTCTGAAGTAAATAGGATGAAATGCAGTAAGGACAAATGCAAAGTACAGGTTGGACCTCCCTGGTCCAGCACCATCAGGACCTGACCTGTCCCGAACAAGAGAATTTGCCCAACCAGGGGAGGTGCCACCTGCTCCAAGTCAGCTGGTCTCCTGACTCTGGATCCCTCTACTCCCTCCCAAACTGGGCTGTCTATTGTGCTGCCGCTTTCACTGCCCCCTCTGAGCTGCCATGGGAGGGCCGGGGTTCTCTGGGCCCGGGCACTGGCCTCGTACTGCTGTGAACGGCCAGATTTCCCTGGCTCCATGCTGCTGTGAGTGACTGGGATTCTCCAACCCCTCCCCCCTGCTGCTGCAGGTGTCTGGGCTTCTTCACCTCTGGCCCCGCCCTGTGTGTGCAGCTGAGGTTCTCCAGCTCCACACTGCTGTGTGCTGCTGGGCTTCTCTGGCACCCAGCCCTATGCTGCCATGGTTGAATGGGGTTCTTCATTCCCCAGCGCCACGCTGCTGCAAGTGTCCAAGGTTCCACAGCCCCATGTTGTCATGGGCTGCAAGGGTGCTACAGCCCTGGCACTGGCCCCAGCACTGCTGTGGGGCTCCTCTGGCTCTGTTGCCCCCAGCCCTGGCTGGGCTGCTGGCCCCCCTGCCATTAGGCTCCCAGGCTCTCTGGTCCAGGAGCAGCTGGACCAAAGAGTACCATATATTAGAGGTGCAACCTGTACTCCACTTAGGAAGGAACAATCAGTTTCACAAGTACAAAATGGGAACTACCTGGGAAGAAGTACTGCGGAAAGAGATCTACGGGTTACAGTGGACCACAAGCTAACTGAGTCTACAGTGTAACGCTGGTGCAAAAAAAGCAGACTCATTCTGGGATGGATTAGCAGGAGTGTCGTAAGAAGTAATTCTTCCCCTCTGCTAATTATGTCTCAACTAGAGATGTAAATTCCTGTTTAATTAGTTAACTGGTTAAACGTTAAGTTTAATCGGTTAACTGATTAAATGGAGGTAGATGGGGGGGATGCTCCAGCCCAATTGAATAAAGCAGCACGGAGCTGGCAGAAGCGGTGGCCCTACACAGGGTTTGTGGGGCTGGATCAGTCCTCCACCCATGACAAGTGGGTTATCTGTTAACATCCCTAGTCTCAATTGAAGTATAGTGTCCAGTTCTGGGTGCGACACTTAAGAAAATATGTGGACAAACTGAAAAGTCCAGAAAGAAGAACAAAAATTATTAAAGGTGTAGAAAATTGGAAAAAAACTGAGTTTGTTTAGTTTGGAAAAGAGAAAACGCTGTGTGGGGAGGATAATAATTTTCAGGTACCTGAAAGGTAGTTACAAGGTGGAGGAAGAAATTATTCTTAACCTCTCAGGACAGGGCAAGAAGCAAGGGGCTTAAATTGCAGCAAGGCAAGTTTAAGTTGGACATTAGAATATGATTATAAAATCATAACTGGTGTGGAAAAAGTGAATAAGGAAAAGTTATTTACTTATTCCCCAATATAAGAACTAGGGGTCACTAAATTAAATTAATAGGCAACAAGTTTAAAACAAACAAAAAGAAGCTTTTCTTCACTCCGCACACAGTCAACCTCTGGAACTCCTTGCCAGAGGTTGTGGTGAAGGTTAGGACTTTAATAGGATTCAAAAAAGAGCTAGATAGATACATGGGGGTTATGTCCATCAATGGCTATTAGCCAGGATGGGTAGGAATGGTATCCCTGGCCTCTGTTTCTCTGGAGGTGTGTCACAGGGGAGGGATCACGTGAAGATTACCTGTTGTGTTTCCTCTCTCTGGGGCATCTGGTATTGGCCACTGTTGGCAAGACAGAATACTGGGCTAGATGGACCATTGGTCTGACCCAGTATGGCTGCTCTTATGTACTTATGAGGATTAGGAAAAACTTCCTGTCAGGGAGGGTAAGTGATGGAATAAATTGCCTAGGGAGAGTGTGGAATCTCTTGGTTAGACAAACACCTGACAAGATACTCTGAATGGAGTGTGGTCCTGCCATGAGTGCAGGGGACTAGACTTGACCTCTCCTGGTTCCTTCCAGTCCTATGATTCTATACGAGTAGGAAGATGAAGGGGGACTGAAGTCTCTGAATGTGCTTGGGAAGAGAGCGATATTGGGGTAGGGGGAGGATGGTAGAGAAGAGGGGTTGGGGGGAGGAAGGGATGGGGACAGGGAGGTTTGTGCAGCTCCTGCGGGGGGAGGGATGCCTGGGGAAGGGATGGGTGGGCTGGGGCAAGAAGAGATGGGCAACCAGCTGTGCAACTCTCTCTAACCATGCCTGTCACTTCCCCAGTCCAGTGCACCCCGCATGCGGTGGGATGATTCGGCCAACTTTGGCTTCTCCTCAAAGACGCTGCCTCAGGATGGGGACACCAGCAGCAACTTCACTGTGAAGGTGAGGGCTGGCATGCAGGCAGAGCTCAGAGGAAGAACATGGGTGGTATGGTGAGGGTAGGCTAAATGTGGACCGAACTTAGGGTGTGGGAGGAGTTAAGGATTCTCAAGTGTGGCCACCAAAGGCTTTTTCTGAGGCCACAATCTCCTAGTCAGTAATTTTTTTTGGGGGGGGTCAAAGCAGTCCTTCCCCTGAGGTTGCCAGGAGGGTTTGTGTTGCTCTGTCCCCCCCTCCCCCCCATCCCAACCCATCCCCAAGAGATGGGCTCTACACAAGCATGCAGCTACTGAATTTCCCAACTTTGGGAATGGTGGGACTCTGGCTTCCACTCTGGGCAGGATCCAGCCGCAGGACTTCAGGTTCCAGCTAGGCAATGACTGGCTCTGGGGCCCCAAGCTTCAGCCACAGGGCTTCAGGGACAGGCCTTGGGCTTGGGCCCCCCCCCCCCCCTCCCCATAACACTTGGTCCTTACTGCCTTCTCTGGGTTTGGCTGCACAATGGCAGGCCCTAGCCCCAGCCCTTGACTCACTATCTCCACTGTCCTGGCTGTACAGTGCTCTGGTGCCCATGCAGGGCTTAATTTGTCCTTGGGCTTCCTGAGAGCTGAATAGGTCTTCTCTGAGAAGTGATATTCACATAGAAACAAATATCACAAGAATATCAATGTGAATATCAGTTTTCACTGAAGACTTAGCAACTAGCTGGTAGGCTGTGAAAAGTGATATTAACATATACTTTTCCCTGTAGCAGACTCGCTAGCTGCAATATGTATTTTTTTTAGGGATGCTGAGATAAAAAATTTAATCGTGTGATTAATCCCCTGTGCTGCCCTTTGAAATGCTGTGGTTTCGAAGGGGCAGCACTGCAGAAGCCCGGGATCAGCTGGAGTCCTCTGCTGACCCCAGGCTCAATGCAGCTGCCCCTTTGAAATGCAGCGGCGGCATTTCAAATGGAAAGCACCACAGGAGCCCGGGATCAGGTGGAGTCCATGCCTCACTGCCCCTTGGAAACACCACAGCAGCACTTCAAAGGGGCAGCGCTGCACAGAGCCCAGGCTCCTAGTGCGCTGCCCCTTTGAAGCACCGGGGCAGCACAAGGTGGAGCCCGCCGGCAGCTGGGGACTCCAGCTGATCCCAGGCTCCTATTGCACTGCCCCTTTGAAGCACCGGAGTGCCTGCGATTAATGTGTTAAAAAAATTAACGCGTTAATCCTGCCCTGCATTAATCGCAGGCGTTAACGCACATCAATTGACAGCCCTATTTTTTTTTAAGGCAATAAACAATAAAACCAAGACAAGACTGTAGAAAGCCCCTTATTTGTGTTTCTCTTCAGGTTTAGTAAAGAATAGACACAACTGTACATTTTTTTGAGTCTGCAAAAAAATCCTGCAAATACATATCTAAATCATTATAGCTTATGTGCATAACTCTAGGAAAAAATAATTAACTATTTGGAAAATTTAGTGAGAGCAGCCACCTGCAAGAGTTGGTGGGTGCCCTCTGAGGTCCTAATTTTTTTTTCTTGAGAACCCCCTGTACTAACCTCATGTCTTCAATCCCAGACACAGACTGGGGACCGTTCCTCGCTGCTCTCCCTGTTCCGGCACCTGAGCGAGCTGCGGGGCAAGGAGCGCTCACTGCTGCATGGGGAGTTCACGATGCTACCCACGCCAGCACCAGATGTCTGCATCTACTTGCGCAGTTGGGACCAGAACAAACGCTTCTTGGTGGTCCTCAACTTTGCTGCCACCCGCATCCCTATCACCATCACCCACTCTCATCTGCCTCCTGAGGCCACTGTGGAGCTCAGCACTGACCCCCAGCGTCAGGAGGGGCAGCTGTCCCTGAAGGATCTGACATTGGAGTCATCCGAGGGCTTGCTGCTGCACTTCCCCTATGTAGCTTAGGGAAGGGGCCTCCCCTGCAGGCCAGGGTGTCCCACCTCCCAGGAAAGGATATTGTTCATGTGAATCCTACTAACACCTCCAGGGGCAGCAGTGAGGCCTTGGGGTGGGGGTGGGGATGGGGAGAGGGCAGGGGAACTGCAGCCATAAGGTAAGAAGGCACCTATATTATGTTCTCCCTTGAGTTGGGAGAACAGGACCCTGGAGCTTGGCATGTATCAGGACAGACCTCCAGGACTCCTAAGGGCAGGCTGGCAGTGGGAAGGGAAACTGGTGATTGATGTGCCCCAGTTCTTGCTAGCCTCCCTTAGCATCCCTGAGAGGATGGTGCCTATAGCAGATCTGGGCTCCACGTTGCGTTTCCCCAAGATGGGATAGCAACTAGATTTTTGGGTTTGTCTTCACTATCTTCCGGATCCATGGGCAGCGATTTGATCGAGGGGGAGGGGGGGAAAGAGGGCATCAGATTTTTTTTCCCCTTCTTCCTGTGAGTCTGGTACACCTCCCCTTATCCTGGTGTTGATAGGAGAGTGTCAGCTGTTGACTTACTGCAGTGAAGGTACAGCTGTAAGTAAATCTAAGTACATCAACTTCATAGCTGAAGTTGTGTAACTTAGATCATGGGCTTCCGGTAGTGTAGACGAGGCCTTAGGGACCAAAGGGTTTAGACCCCACTGGCTGCAGCTTGCACTCCCAAAGTTATTCTAGCTCCTGTGGGGCTGGCCCTGCCCTTCTGTCATCCCCCCTGCCCCTCCTCCCATGGTCACCCCCATTTTGGGTGCTCTGTGTGGTGGGATCGCATAGGGGGTCACTCTTCTTTTTTGTCTTTCTCTTCTTCCTTTCTCTCCCTATGGTGGGGACCGGTGCCATTTGTGGGACAGGTGTGTGTAAGGGGAGGAGGGCTTTGTGCTACACCCTTTGTGAGTGCTGCTGGGATCAGCATGGAACTAGTTAATAAAAGGCTCTGGTTAGTGATTCTGGATTGTCTCTTCTTCTACTATGATCCATGACCTTTTTTCCCCTTGCTGCTTCATGCCTTGAGGGGAGGAGGGAAAGACAATGTTCCCCCTCCCCCAAACCACACACATTTCATATTCACTAGTTGTCATCTACCCCCACCTTTTGCCTGCACTGTGAGGATCCCCTTTTCTTCTGTGATTACTGAGTGGCTGGGGGCAGATCCTTAGACTCTGCAAGTCCCTGGCCTGTAGTTAAATCCGCCCACATGAGAGCTGGTCGACCCATGGCAGTTGGCTCCCTCTGCACAGACCTATAGCAGAGCAGCCTGGGTACGAGGGGTGATTCCATCTCCCTGCACACGAGGAAGAGTTGCACCAGTGCATGCTGGGCCTGTAAGTCCAGGAGTGACTCCCCACCCTCCCATTTGGCCGAGGAGCCAGTGTTTGAACAGGAGAAGCCCTCCCCACTGCTTCCCCCTGGGCGCCTTCCACCCTCCCGTTTTACACATCACCGCGCCTTTAAATACACCTGCTCTTCTGTCCCTGTTCTCTCCCCCCCCGACACTTTCCGTCGGCCGAACTGGGCGCCTTCCACCCTCCCGTTTTACACATCACCGCGCCTTTAAATACAAAAGGGCTCGGCGCAAAACGCAACGGAAGGCTACTGCTGGGTCCGGGACTCGTTGCGGGCGGAGGGATTTGGGCGGCGCGTCCCGGGCGGAGGGAGCTGAAGAATACGGGGAACTGAGCGGTTGTAGCACCAGCCCCCTGCCTTCGCCGCCGCCATGGCAAGAAACGGGGCCAGGGGGCTCTCGTGGGCAG